AGCACAGGAGAAATAAAATATTTAAAAACAGTTCAGGAAGAATATTTCAGGAACTGCTGCTGTTCAGAAGTTGGCTATTTTAAAATACATTTTCTCTAACCATGATTTTGCTTATTTCCCCCCCGCCCCCCTTGTCTTTGATTTTAGAAATAAGGCCTATTTATCTTCCTATTCATCCACCACTATAAGATGGATTCCAATATCTGGACTGCAATAAAATTAAATTGCAGCTTAAAGGAATTCTATGAATGTATATAACATGGTGTCTTATTTAAGTACTATATATTTAGATGAGTTTAAATGATTAAGTTCAATACAACAGTAATTATTGTTTAAGGTAGTCAATGGGCATGATGAATCTAAAATAGAAATACTGGAAAATTTAAGAAGTTCGAGGAAGGAAAATTTAAGGTAAATATTGACAATAAACTGAATGGATAAACTATGTAGAGTTCGTTTTTAACTTTTGTTTAACATAGTTTTATTGATTTCAGAGAAGAAGGATGAGAGAGAGATAGAAGCATCTATAATAATAAGAGCATAATATGCTAATTAGACCAGACATCTGAACAACCTTCCAGACTTCCTTCCAGATGACCTTCTGGATGAAGCCGGGGCTGCGAGGGCTGAGCCTCTTGCACAAATTTCGTGCATTGAGCCTCTAGTCAATGATAAGAGAGAATCATTGATTAGCTACCTTCTGCAGTCCCCACACTGGGGACTAAGCCCACAACCTGGGCATGTGCCCTGACCAGGAATCAAACTGTGATCTCCTGGTTCATAGGGTGATGCTCAACCATGGAGCCACACTGGCTGGGCATGTTTATTGCTTTTTAGAAATAGAGGAAGGATGAGGGAGAAAGAGAAACATCCATATAAGAGGGAAACATCAATTGGCTGCCTGCTGCAGGCCCCCTACCGGGGACCAAGACCACAACCTGGGCAAGTGCCCTGACTGGGAACTGAACTGGCAACCCTATGGTGCATGGGAAAACACCCCACCAATTGAGCCACACCAGCCAAGGCAGGCTTTTTATTTTCTAAGACAGCAGAATTTCCCAAATCCTGCTCCACTGCTTCAGCACAGTTTTGCCCTTGGTTATTCAATTTTAAAGTCACTTAAGAAATATGGTTATCCTGAGAAAACTACTCTGTCAATTCTGTAAACTCTAGCCTCTTTTGCAACAAAGCGATCACATTAAATATATTTCGATCTCCCAACTAGAAGTTGAGTGAATTCAACAGTGTGAAAAATTTTATATCAACATATTTATAGATTAGCTATAAGTCTTTAATAAGTATTATGTTCATAATTAATTTTTTTTATCATTCAGAGCCTTTTTTTTTAATGAATGACCGAAGTTTTGTGATTAAGAATGATTTGTCTGTTCCTGGCTTCGCTATTTTACCAGCATTTAATTTTATTTTTATTTTTCCAGGTGTTGAAATTTGTACTGCTTTGAAAGGAAGAAGAATGTTTTCAATGTTCAAATATTGTGCAATAGACTATTTATACGAGGTAGGGTGTTACTGGGTCACCACCTTCTTACTAAGAATTGTGATATAAACAGTGCTATCTGCATTCACAACATGATTATGAACATTTTGCAGTTGTCCTTGGATTCATCCTCAGTCTAGTTGCTTTGAGATTTACTTAAAATTACTTTTTACTTTTAATATACCTTAAAAATGGCAGTTTGGGAAAAATAATTGACAATATAACATGAAATTACAACTCTTAGGGGGGAAAAAAGGAAACTTGGCAAGTTTGGGCTGCTTTTATGAATAATCTTGAGTAATCTTTATTGAAAGGAGGGGGAGGGAAAGACAATCTCAGTTATCTTTATGATAAAATAACAGTATTGACCACTTACTATGGGCCAGGTACATTGTTTGTTTGGTGGGTTATATCATTTGATCATTTGCTCTTGTGATAGATTATGTAATTTGATCATCATAACTACTTGAGGTAGATACTATTATTATAAAGGTTGTACAATGTTAAAGGTTAGGAAACTAATGTCTAGAGAAGTCAAATAGTTTGTACAAAGCTGAGAGTCAACCAAGGCACATGGTTAAGAACTAACTGGAATACTTGTCATACAACAGTTCACTGTTCTTATGATCTTAATTCACAAGTTAAAATTTTGGGTTTTTTTATAACCTTGACCCCATCTACCAGGAAAAAAAATTATTCCAGTATAACCAAAATTGTCTTACATTTTACAGAAAATAAAGGCATCTTCAGATTTTATTACTCCTTCATAAGTGAGGGAGGCAAATGTGTCATTATAACATATAGATGGTAAGAAATCAGAGATCATTGTTCTAAAATATATTTATGAATATACTAGAAACCCAATGCACAGATTCGTGCACCAGTGGGGTCCCTTGGCCTGGCCAGCGGAGATCAGGCTGAAACTGACTCTCTGACATCCCCCAAAGGGTCCCAGATTGTGAGAGGGTGCAGGCCAGGCCGAGGGACCCCAATGATGCACAATTGGGGCTGGGAGGGACCACGGAAGGGCTCTAGGGTGTGTCCAGCCCATCTTGCCCTGTCCTGATTGGCCGAACCCCAACAGCAAGCTAACCTACCAGTTGGAGCATCTGCCCCCTGGTGGTTAGTGTGCATCACAGCAACTGGTCAAACAGACAGTCGGACACTTAGCATATTAGGCTTTTATTATATAGGATTGGCCACTTGCAAAATTAGTCTATACCAGCCGTGGGCAAACTAGGGCCCGCGGGCCGGAACCGGCCCGTTTGAAATGAATAAAACTATTGAAAAAAAAGACCGTACCATTTTATGTAATGATGTTTACTTTGAATTTATATTAGTTCACACAAACACTCCATCCATGCTTTTGTTCCGGCCCTCCAGTCCAGTTTAAGAACCCATTGTGGCCCTCGAGTCAAAAAGTTTGCCACCCCTGGTCTATACTCAAACATCTTCAAACTTTAATCTTGCCCATAGTACCTTAATTTCTTGTTCAAATACAGTACAAATATGATACTAATAAATGGCAACTCTTACAAAAAATGCAGGATTTTGTAGAATTCATGAAAACAGTGCTGAAGAACTACTCAAAAGCAGGTAAACCTTTTATCAAATGAGGATCTTGCAAAATTATATCAGTTAACAAGCAAAAAGAAGAGAATGGTTTGAATATCAGAGTCAGAGATACCTTGGAAAAATTTGACTAAATCCTCAAATATTTTCTAAAAATATCTTTTTATGATCAAAGGTGAAGTAATGACTAATATCATGCACATCTTCACTTAACACAGTTTGTCGGGAAATTATGACAAAACTATTATAATTATAAACAAAATTTTGTTAGGTATAAAATTTATAAAGTTTTGGGGTTTTGTTAGATAAAGTTCCAATCGAGCTGTTTTTCCTTCTTACTGTGAACCTTTGATTCTCATATAAATTAACTGATCTTTTCTTTGTGCCATTTATTCTTGGATAATGAGGATCTGTTATTTAATATGTTTTAACACCTTCAGCAAACATAAAACTCTTGGGGAATTATGCACGAAACAATCATTTGTTCAACTTCCTAAAATAATGAACTCTGTGGGAAGTTGAGAATCATTGAGGGATAACTTTGTAAAGGAGCTGTTGCTTAAGACAAGCCTTGAAAGACGAATAGGTTGTTGATAGAGTAGAGTAGTGGGGCATTTTTCAGAGGCAAACAATAACCATGGTGTGCCTGGTAAGGAAGTGACTGCTAAAAGTTAAGGGAGGTAATAAGGAGACAAGTCTATTTATTTATTTTTTATTTTTTTAATTAAATATTTATTGTTCAGATTATTACATTTGTTCCTCTTTTATTTCCCCCATAACTCCCCTCCTTCCAGTTCCCACCCTACCCTCCTCCCTCACTCCCGACCTACTGTCCTCATCCATAGGTGCACGATATTTGTCCAGGGAGACAAGTCTATTTAAAGAGAACCGTTAGTATTAGAGAGTAATGGGAGATAAAACAGGAAAGTAAAGGCAGAATGGAATTACAGAGAACTTCGATTTACAAGTTTGCTTAGCTGATTTAACATTCTTTTAAAGAACTAGCTTTATTTATTAGAGGTTTTTTAAAAAATATATTTTATTGATTTTTTACAGAGAGGAAAGGAGAGGGATAGAGAGTTAGAAACATCGATCAGCTGCCTCTTGCACACCCCCTACTGGGGATGTGCCTGCAACCAAGGTACATGTCCTTGACCAGAATCGAACCTGGGACCCTTCAGTCTGCAGGCTGACGCTCTATCCACTGAGCCGAACCGGTCAGGGCTATTAGAGTTTTTAAAATTAGAAAAACATTTGATGGTTCTCACAAGTGAAATAATGCAAAGACATAGAAGAAAAACATTAAGACAGCTATGTTTTACTAAGTGAAAAAAAAACACATTGCTAAATGGTATGTAAATAATGTGATCCCATTTTTTTGTCAGACACACTACACACACACACATATTTTGGCCTAACCTGGAAAAAAAGACTGTGGGAAACTATACCAAACTATTACTGATATTACCAGGGACCTTGATTTTCTCAGTATGTGGTTCTGTGTTATTTTATATTTTATAATGAGCATATATTACCTTTAAATAAAAATAACATACATTTAGCCCAGCTGGTATGGCTCAGTTGGTTGAGCATCATCCCATGCACCAGGAAGTCACTGGTTCAATTCCAGGTCAGGGCACATGCCTGGGTTGCAGGTTCGATCCCCAGTAGGGGACGTGCAGGAGGCAGCCAATCAATGTTTCTCCCTCATTGATGTTTCTATCTCTCTGTCCCTCTCTCTTCCTCTCTCTGAAATAAATAAAAACATATATATATATTTTAAAGCAGTGGTTATCTGGGGATTTTTTTTAAAACCATATATTTTAAAGAATAGAGAATTTAATATTCTGAATATTGATAAATATGTTAAATATATTTAATATATTAAAATATTTTATAATCTTGCTTTCTTACATAGAATGTAGTTAGAAAGAAATTTTGCAGAGATGCTTTATTGCTTCGAATCCCTTCATGTTTATATCAAGATGGAAATCATTATGCAGAAGTTACTGATCATAAATTTAGGAGGCCATGGACAAGAGGTATGTTTTACTTTTATTTCTTAATAATCTATTTTATTTTATTTTATTTTATTAATTTTTTTAAGAAGCTCTTTAGATGAAGCCAGGATCCTGTTCTCCCTCCTTGGAAGGGACCTGCATGGAAACTTTTGGACTCATCCCAAAAGGCAGAGGATGCAGCTCCTGGGCAGC